TGTTGTATATAAGGATGAATCACTAAATCCTACAACAGAAACTATGTTATACTGTATGTTAAGTGACTGGAATTTAAATAAAAACTTGAAAGAAAAAAATTCCTTTTTAGTATAAGTATTATTGTGTCTCTGCTGAACCTTATGTATACCTGATTGTAGTATATTAAAATTATTGGCTCATAAAACAAACAAACACAAGTACTTAATAAATAAATAAAACAACATGCATTTTATATTTAATCACAAACCCACTGGGTTCTTTTTCTGGTCTGGGCCAACAAGTCTGATCTCTGCTATACTGTCTGGTGAGTCTGGAAACTGGAAGATTAACAATGACCTCACTCACATAGTTGGTGGCTGGCAAGTTGGCCATTGGAGCTTGCTATTAGCCAAGGCACCTCAATTTTCTCCATATGGCCTCTCATTTGTGGTTAGCTGCTTAAATCAGTCCTTAAGAGCTGATTATTAAGGTGGGGGATAACCTGTTGGTGGCTTGAAATCGACCATGGTATGAGTATTTAGGTCACAGACACAAGGAAACACTACAAGTCAGGGCCCTCCTGTGCCCTAACCCAGCTGCACCTAGAACCAATTCTTAAATATTTACCAGCACACTATTGCTTCTTATGCCTTAGAAGACCAGCTTGCACTCATTCACATCGTGGCCTCAAGATTTTAATGGAGACAAGAAAGGGCAGCTGCAATGCAAAATACTTTTGTGCTTTCTATTATCCTTTTGGACAGAACTAGACATACGACCGAGTCCAGAGTTGGAATATAATAGTACTCAGCAAAAAAAGGAAGCAACTATTGATTTATAAATGAATCTCAAAGGCATTATGTCGGGTAAAAAAAAATCCAGTATAAAGAGGAAACATATGATCCCATTCATGTGACATTCTCAAAACAACAAAGCTTTGTAGCATTTCATAAAAATAAGTAACCATTTCAAGGCCAACTACACATTCAATTATTCACTGAATCAATACTATCATTTCAGCATATACCATTGCTCAGTTCTGTGCCAGGTATAATACTTATCTGAGAGACTCAGATGTAAGCCAACAGTCTTGGGGTATAGAGGTGAGAAGGAAAAACAAACACCAACATGTAAACAAATGTAAATAAATTGTAATGAGTGTTATGAAGGGAGCAAATAATGGGAGATAAAAAAATTAAAAATTGGGAGTATGACAGAGGGAAGGGTGCGCAGATAAAGCTGTTCAGTGAAATGATCTTCCTCTCCTCCCTTCTCCTCTCCTCTCCCTTTCAATTTTTATTTAAATATTAATTAATCGACATAGAGTACAATACTGGTTTCAGGAGAATTCAGTGATTCATCACATATAACTTGCAGTGCTCATCACAACAAATACTCTCTTTAATACCCATCACCAGTCTAGCCCATCCCCCACCACCTCCCTCCATCAACCCTCAGTTTGTTCTCTAACATTAAGAGTCTCTTGTGGTTTATTTCCCTCTCTTTTTTTCCATCCTTCCCATATGTTCATCTGTTTGGTTTCTTAAATTCCAAATGAGTGAAATCATGGTGTCTTTCTCTGATTGACTTATTTCTTTTAGCATAATGCATTCTAGCTCCATCCATATCCTTGCAAATGGCAAGATTTCATTCTTTTTGATGGATTATTGATATTCCATCATATATATTCCCCACTCCTTCTTTATCCATTCATTAATCCATGCATATTTGGGATCTTTCCATAGATTGGCTATTTTTGATAATGCTGCTATAAACATTGGGGTGCATGTATCCTTTTGGATCTGTATTTTTGTATCCTTTGGGTAAATACCTACTAGTGCAATTGCTGAATCATAGGGTAGTTCTATTTGTAGTTTATTTGAGGAACCTCCATACTGTTCTCCAGAGTGGCTGTACCAGTTTGCATTCCCACCAACAATGCAAAAGGGTTCCCCCTTTCTCCACATTCTCACCAATACCTGTTGCTTCTTATGTTGTTAATTTTTGCCATTCTGCAGGTGTGAGGTGGTTTCTCATAGGGGTTTTGATTTGTATTTCCTTGATGATGAGTGATGCTGAACATTTTTCATGTATCTGTTAGCCATCTGGATGTCTTCTTTGGAAAAGCGTTTATTCATATCTTCTGCCCATTTCTTCTTCTTTTTTTTTTTTTTTTTTTTTTTTTTTTTTTTTTTGCAGGGGTGGGTGTTGAGATTGGTAAGTTCTATATAGATTTTGGATACTAACCCTTTATAGGATATGTCATTTCCAAACATTGTCTCCCATTCCATTGACTGCTTTTAGTTTTGCTGCTTGTTTCTTTTGAGGTGCAGAAGTTTTTATCTTGATGAAGTCCCATTAGTTCATTTTTGCTTTTGTTTCCCTTGCCTCCAGTGATTTGTCTAGTAAGAAGTTGCTATGGCTGAGGTCAAAGAAGTTGCTGCCTGTGTTCTTCTCTAGGACTTTGATGGTTTCTTATTTCACATTTAGGTCTTTCATCCATTTTGGATTTATTTTTATGAGTGGTGTAAGAAAATGGTTCAATATTATTCTCCTGCATGTTGCTGTCCAGCTTTCCCAACACCATTTGTTGAAGAGACTGACAAAAGAACTAAAATCTAGTGAAGCTGAAATCAAAATTGCTATAACCAAGATGCAAACCAAGTGGATGCCATAAAAATGAGGATTGACAAAGCAAAGGAAAGAATTAATGATACAGAAAATAACATTATGGCTGAGTACCTGGGTGGCTCAGTAGACTGATCATCTGACTCTTGATTTCATCTCATGGGTAGTGAGATCAAGCCCCATGTCAGGGTCCATGTTGGCAGCATGAAGCCTGCTTGGGATCTATTTCTCCCTCTTTCTCTGCCTCTCCCCACTTATTCTCTCTCTTAAAAATAAATAAACTTAAAAAAAGAAAACTATGGAAAATAAGGAATCTGAAAAGAAAAAGGAAAGAAAGGTAAAGGATTACAAAGGTAGACTTAGGGATCTCAGTGACTTATTAAGACGTAATAAAATTTGTATCATAGGAATCCCAGAAGATGAAGAGAGAGAAAAAGGGGCAGAAAGTTTACTTAAACAAATTACAGCTGAAAACTTCCCTAATCTGGGGAAGAACACAGACATTAAAATCCAAGTAGCACAGAGAACTCCCATTAGATTCAACAAAGTTGACCATCACTAAGGCATATCATAGTCAAATTTATAAAATACACAGACAAGGAAAGAATCCTGAAAGCAGCAAGGGAAAGAAGTCCTTAACCTAAAAGGGAAGACAGGTTAGGTTTGCAGCAGATCTGTGCACAGAAACTTGGCAGGTCAGAAATGGGTGGCAGGATATATTCAATGTGCTGAATTGGAAAAATATGCAGCCAAGAATTCATTATGCAGCAAGGCTGTCATTCAGAATAGAAGGAGAGAGGAAGATTTTCCCAAACAAAAACTAAAGGAGTTTGTGACCACTAAACCATCCCTGCAAGAAATTTTAAGGGGACTCTTTGAGTGGAGAAATAAAAGACTAAAAGCAACAAAGACAGAATGGAGGAGAGAACATCACCAGACACACCAACTCTACAGGTGACACAGCAGCAGTAAACTCATAACTTTCAATAATTGCTGTGAATGTAAATAGACTAAATTCTCCAATCAAAAGACATAGGTTATCAGAATGGATAAAAAACAAGATCCATCTATATGCTGCCTATAAGAGACTAATTTTAGACCTAAAGAAACCTGCAGATTGAAAGTAAAGGGACATAAAAATACCTATTATGCTCATAGATGCCAAAAGAAAGCTGGAGTAGCTATACTCACAACAGACAAACTAGATTTTAAACCAAAGACAATAATAAGAGATTACGAATGGCATCATACTATAATTAAGGGGTCTACTCATCAAGAAAAGCTAACAATTATAAATACCTATGCCCCCAAATTGGAGGAACCCAAATATATAAATCAGTTAATAATAAACATAAAGAAACCTAGGCAATAATAGTAGGGGACTTTAACATCCCTCTTACAGCAATGGACAGATCAACTAAACAGAAAATCAATAAGGAAACAATGGCTTTGAATGACACACTTAACAGATAAATTGAGAACATCTCATCCTAAATCAGCAGAATACACATTCTTTGCAAGTGCACATGTAACCTTCTTCTGAATAGATAACATACTGTGTCACAAATCAGCCCTCAACAAGAACAAAAAGATCAGGATCATACCATGCATATTTTCAGACCACAATGTTATGAAACCTGAAGTCAACCACAAGGAAAAATTTGGAAAGCCCTCAAATATACAAAGCTTAACATCCTACTAAACATCCTACTAAAGAATGAATGGGTTAACCAGGAAATTAAAGAAGAAACAAAAAAAATACATGGAAGCAAATGAAAATGAAAACACGACAGTCCAAAACTTTTGGAATGCAGCAAAGGCAGTCCGCAGAAGGAAGTATATTGCATTACAAGCCTTATTGGAAAACATCAATGGTACAAGGTAGAAACCATTAGAAGGCCTTTGAGACACTTAACGGGAAAGGTAACAAAGGTTTAGCCATGGAGTTAAGAGGGAAGTAAGTAGATAAATCAGGAATATTTGGGGGGAAGGAAAAGCAGGGTTGAAAAGGAACTGAAGAAAAGGAAGGAGCTAAGTTTCTGACCATAATCACAGGAAAGAGAAATACCATTAGCTGGGATGGGGCAGAGTAAAGGACAAACAGGTTTGGAAACAAGAACTGAAGTATCCTGTGAAATATTAAAGGGAATATGCCAAGAAGGTATGTGGTCTATTAGCTAAGAACTAAGAGAAGTCGGGGCTCCTCCATTAGACTTGCCAAATTTTCGGGGCAGTTCCTCTGTGTCTCAACATTAAGTATGTTCTCTCTGTAACCTGCTCTTCTCTGTAGACCTTTTTAGCCCCTCTATTGCTCTGAAATATCTTGCCACAATGTTAAAAAGCAAGCTATGTGTACATAAGCAGTTCAATCCATGTATGCCCAAATAAGCTTTCTTTCTGATTCTAATGTATTGCCAGGTGTTGAGCAATGACAACTGAAAAAGTTGGAGGGTTTTTTTTGGTAGCATATTGTGTAGTATGGAGTTTAAAAATTTAATCATAAATATTTCCATGAAAAGAAAGAAGTGAAGAATTAGAAAAAACAAAATTCCAATTCTCTTAGCCCCACTGTCAGATTTCATTTTTTCTGATTAGATTTCCTTCAGGTTCTGAGCATAAGACCTAGTGCTTATGGGCACAGTCACTCTAAACAATGGAAAAGAAATCACATGAAGGGAAACTGATTATTAAATGAGAGTAAATGTAGCTGTTGTAAGCTTCTGGGTCACTAAATTTCCCCCTTGTGATATATGCCATATTTGTAATTATAGACAATTTAAAAATTCTTACCATCTAGTTTTTGGGTAAACCAACTGAAATTGTAATAACTCCCACAGCAAGATGACTTCACTTCATAAAGGAAGTTCGTTAATTGGCTACTGCAATCCATGGTACTGGTTATCTAAGATATATAGCATGTACTATGGTATTTAAATACTTGTTTTATGGGCTTTTGTGACTCAGTCTTTAAAAAGAAAAGTTTGGAGATTTACCTTTTTCAACCTGTTATTACTCTCCTGGCATTTTTCTCAAAATTGGTATGTGGAAATTAATCACATCAGGCAAAAAATTAAATATAAAGGTTATCATTTGGAGAGTTAAAGGGATTCTAGGTTAAACTTATTACTAGAATTAAGATGACTTGGATTTCTTGAGCATGAGAATTTGGAGCTTGTTGATGAGATTCTAAAATCTGAAACAAAATATCAGACTATGTCTGGTTATTGTCACTGCTAACACAGGTGACAGATTGAGACACCCAGGAAAAAGTAAGCATACTGGTATATAATTTTCAAAGTACAGAGATAATGATAGAGAATGGAATGGGGCACAAAACTGTCATTTTAATAACCAGGTAGACTTCCCCTGATAGAATCTTAGTTATCAGGTAATATATATAATTAAGTAAGATATATATTAGTAATATAGTAATATATGTAGTGGTTAAATATGTGTTTTTTGGGTACAGAATTCCTATTGACTAGCACTATGCCCTGATGACACTAATTGTACTGCTAAGATTTAGCTGTATAGTTAGGATTATAATAGTACTTCTTTTGTGCCATTGTTGTAAGAATAAATGAGATAATGGATGAAGTGTTTAGCACAGTGCTTTGTATGAAGTTGACTAAGAAAATGCTGGCTGTTATGATTAGCAGAAGCTCTTTCTTTCCAGCGTTTTACCAATATAGAATACTATAATTTGGTCTTTCTTTCTATTAAGGACCTTTTCCAAATTCTATTCTTTTGCAGTCTCTTGTATCATACATATTTATGTAATTATTAGTCATATATCAGTGTAAGGCAACTAAATTGAGTCCTTCATATCCAAAAGCCTTTCTCCAATTTAACTATATACACAGGGGCAAGAAGCAGATTTCCTTATATAAATATGGTTCTTTACTGTGAGGCTATCTTCTTTCTCTTCCACGTCTTCCATTGACTCTTTTCATTGACTCTTTTCTCTCTAGAACCATCACAAAAAAATTATTGTGTTTATGAATCTGAGCCAAAAAACCTAGAGCTTCACCCAAAGAAACTTCAACAATTTGACCTCCTGTTTGTAAACTTCTGTTTTTCTGTTTAACTGGAATACTTTTAAACTTCTGGCTCAGAAAAATAAATTTCTGAGTCCAAAAATTACCACATATAAATTTCACATTTCTTTTTAAATGGAAGTCTGGTTTTGCTTTCAGTGTATTTTCATCTTAGGTAGAAATTTCCAATTGGTTAGTTTCCAAAGTCAGGAACCAAGAAAGATTATTTCTAGGATAGCCTGGTGTCCAAGACAGGGAACTATTTAACTCTGTATTCTAAATATGAAATAAATATCATAATGAAACATTAAAAAATTCCTTTCTCTTTTTCACAAGGATAGCTAGCTTGGTTTACCCTATTTTCATTTATAGGTTAGAGCTTAATAACTCTAAAGACTAGTGGTGTCTGGGTGGCTCAGTTGGCTAAGCGTCTGACATCGGCTCAGGTCATGATCTCGCAGTTCCTGAGTTTGAGCCCTGCATCAGGTTCTGGGCTGACAGCCAGGAGCCTGGAGCCTGCTTCAGATTCTGTGTCTCCCTCTCTCTCTGCCCTTCCCCCACTCGCACTCTGTCTCTCTCTCTGTCTCAAAAATAAACATAAAAAAAATTAAGAAAAAAAAAGAACTCTAAAGAGTAGAAGTAACTGCAAATGAATACAGACATCTGTAAAGAACACTACCTGGCTCTTTTTAAGTATCTCCTTTTTGTCAAACTTTCATTTCATTGTTATAATAAATTATATAAATTTATTAATGAAAAATTATTTCATTCTAATATTTTATTTTAATCTTATTTTTCATTTTTAAAAATCTCATAGATTGTTGATCTGCTCAGAAGCAGATATTTTCACATTCAGATTGACTTTACCTGAGTAGAGGTAAAATTTTATTATCTGATTTTTAAACACAATAGTATGCTCACTCAACTAATATTTATCACTTCATAGTTTGCACACCTCTTTCAAATGTATGCTGTAACAAACACAAAGTTCAGAGAATTGCAGTGATTACATGAAGATAAGTATCCTCTCTGTTTTATCATTATATCTGCAGGCCTACAGAGTGCTTGGCATATAATCATAGTAGGTGCTCAATAAGCTGGAACAAATGGATAAACACTAAGAAAAAGAGTTAGTAGTAGTGAAGCCAGGAATTGAACTCAGATTTTCTGATCTCAAACTTGTGCTATGTATATTATGGCATACTGTGGAAATTTTCACTATCTGCCTTTCTATGAAGACTGACTACACAAGTGTGAATAAGAATATGATTATCTCAATATGGAAAAAAATCATTTTAGAATGGTTTTAGAGAAATTCTTCCTGTAATTCTAGAACTAAATGAAGTCACTTCAATAAAACTAACTGTAGACAAAGAGGAATGGTTTAAGATCAGAAAACTTTGGTTAATAGATTTATCACTTGGCAAACTGTCTTCAGGCCTTGTACACACAGAGCTATAATACAAAAAGAGGTTTCAAAAGGCATAAGATCCTATGAGGTATTATTAAAAAAGTAATTAGTAATTTTTATATTTTTAAATGGCCTCAATACTTGAAAGTCATGTCATGAATAAATAAATCATCTCAACTAGTTGTCACTGAGTGTTAATATAGACACACAGGGAACTCTTCCCAGATTCTGAGATCTGACCATGAGCTTCATTTCAAAGGATTCCTTCTGGAAATCACAAATTATTTCATTTTAATTTTGAATGAAAAAAATTGGCACATTCAAATGAAAATAAATTGCTGTTCAAATCTGTTTATAGGTGTGTATGTATGGAAATAAAAACTTGGAAATAAATTTTTATTATGTCCATATTTCATTCTAGAAAATAAAAAGGATAGTTTTAAATACAGGTCCTTATTGTAAAGACTGAATTTATAGTTCCTGAAAACTGTGGACGTATTTAAGCCTATGAGGTAGAATACTATTCAGAAAAGATAATTATGCATTTGTTAATTCCACAATAAGGTAAAAGTCAAATTCTCATTCATTTAATTTCTAACAGATCTGCTAAAATTATACTTATGTTTCCCAAGAGAAAGCTTATTTCACATGAATAAGTTATTGCCCAAGCTTGCTATTATGCCCTTTGTGTCAAGGCTTACTCTTAATTTCCCGGTGTGGGAGAAAATGTAACCCTCCTAGTGATGGCTTTCTCTGATCACCTGGCCAGTCAATATGCCTTTGCTCTGATTTTTTCCCATAAACCTAGTCACAAACTGACATAAATATATATTTTATTTATTTTTAATCACCTCTGCCAGCCCAGCCACCACCTTTAGAATGTAGGCTACATGCAGGTCAAACACTTCTGTTTTCTTTTTCTTTCATTGCTTTGTCTCCAGAATCTATAAAAGTGTACATTATAGAGCAGTAATCTAGAATATTTGTTGAATGAGTTAATTACACCAATTATGATATTCAGTAGGCTTTGGAAAATACTTTTGTTATTGTGATAAGTTCATGAGAGAAACTAATTAAAATTACATTCAGTCTCATCTTTGATGAGCAGACTAAATAGTATTACATTCAATTTTTATAAAAGGGAAATCATTGAAAAAAGTAAATAGTGTAATTGTGATATTAAAAGACTATTTTTTTGCTTGTTGATTCATTTGTTTTGTTTTTCTCAGTTGGACTTATTTCACATAGCATAATACCCTCTGGGTCCATGCACGTTGCCACAAATGGCAAGACGTCATCCTATTTTATGGCTGAGTGATATTCCATTAGGTGTGTGTGTGTTTAATATATATATATGTATACCTTCCTTATACATTCGTTTATGTTTCTTTTTTCAGTTCTACATATAAGTGAAATCATATGGCATTCACCTTTCAAATCTTATTGACTTATTTTACTTAGAATTATACCCTTTAGGTACATCCATGTTGTTGCAAATGTCCACATCTTGTACTTCTTATGGCTAAATAATATTCACTGTGTGTATATGTGTATGTATGCATATCATCTTTGTCAATTCTTCTACTGATGGATATATTTTTTAATTGAAATCTTATTTCTTTAGTTCCCAGTGAGATTGCACATCTCTTAAAATGGCCATCGGCTATTTGTTGTACTCCTTCTGTGATGCTTGCTTGTATCCATTTCCCATCTTTCTAAAAGAATAATTTTTCATTTAAAAAATGTGTGCTTCTCAGGTTCTGGGAAGATACATTTTCACTGCTTAATAGTATAATTAACTGCTATAAAACTTAATTGTTTTAATATAGAAAAGTGAATGCAATCTGTTGCTCACACTAATTTAGTTTGTCACAATTTCTCTAACTCTCTCTTTAACCGCAGATATTTCAAATACATGGCCACATCTCACTCCATTTCTCTGATATCATTTACAAATTAACTGGGCTGATTTCCATCTCTTTACATTTGGCCTAAATTTTCTCTCCCTTCAAGATTCTGTAAAAGGCATCAGGCTCACTTTCTGCTACTCAAAATCTGAATGTGTAAGTATAGCATATGTATCTTTAAAAGTATTATAGGGACCTTGAACTCTTCCTCAAAAACACGTCAGAATCCAGAGGCAAATACTCAACACCTTCCGTCCTTCCATACTGACTTCATGTTAGATAAATAACTATCTTTCTTTTTCTCCTTCTCTCCCTCTCTCTTTCCCTCTCGTGCCAACCCATAAATGCAAAAAGTACAATTCATATAATTATGTAAATAATCACAGGGAAAATATCAATTCCTAACAGTAACGTGAATAATTATTTTCCTATAGCCTCACCATATAATTTTTATAATTATTAGAACTGAAACATCTACTTGATTTGCAATATGGTAAAGGGCTTATTATTATCCATTTTTAATTATTTTTCTTTCCTATAGATAACTTCAACAGCCCAGAGTCAGTTAATGGATGGAGCAATAAATCAGTGGTTACTGAATTCATTTTGTTGGGCCTGTCTAGCTCTCAAGATATTCAACTCTTCCTCTTCTTTTTCTTCTCTGTGTTTTATGGAGCTGCGGTTTTGGGAAACATCCTTATCATCCTCACAGTAATTACAGACTCTAGCTTACATTCCCCAATGTATTTTCTTCTTAGCAATCTCTCCTTTATTGATGTGTGTCAGGCTACATTTGCCACTCCCAAGATGATTGCAGACTTCCTCAATGAACACAAGACCATCACCTTCCAGGGATGCATGTCACAAATCTTTTTCTTGCATGTTTTTGGGGGTAGTGAGATGGTGCTTCTTGTTGCCATGGCCTATGATAGATATATTGCTATTTGCAAACCTCTGCACTACATTACCGTCATGAGCCGAAGGGTGTGCACTATTCTGGTGGGAGTCTCCTGGACCATTGGTATTCTGCATTCAGCCAGCCACCTGGCATTCACAGTCAATCTTCCTTTCTGTGGACCCAATAAGGTAGACAATTTCTTTTGTGACCTTCCCCTTGTGATCAAGCTTGCCTGCTTAGAAACATATGTTTTAGAGATCCTCGTGCTAACCAACAGTGGTCTGCTCTCTCTTATCTGCTTCCTCCTTTTGCTCATTTCTTATACTATCATCCTTGCTACTGTCCATCAGCAAACCTCTGGTGGGACATCCAAGGCACTTTCCACCCTGTCTGCCCACATCACTGTTGTGGTTTTGTTCTTTGGCCCATTAATCTTCATTTATATTTGGCCTTTTGAAAGCTTCCCAATTGATAAATTTATTTCTGTGTTTTTTACTGTCTTCACTCCTGTCCTTAACCCCATGATCTACACATTGAGGAATAAAGATGTAAAGGAAGCCATGAAAAAGCTACGGAACCGACATGTGGGTTCTAAGCAAGTCTTTCAGACAATTGTGAGGTAGTAACACAAATCCTTAATTATTGTCCTTTGTAATGCACATAGGTGATTTTATTGTTGTGTTTCTATCACAATTAGTCTTTCACTATTATAGAACCTATCTCTAGTTATCTGAAGTTGTAAATGAAGTGCAGAATCTCATATTATACCAGTTCCAATATTCTGTGGCTCATCTCATCTTCCCTGAAACAATCAACAACATATATTAAAATTCCTAAGTAGTTTTTTCCTCCTTATATAGGCATTGTTTAAAAAAGCATCCTGTAGCATTTTGAAATTACCTCCGTATTAAAGCAGATTTGTTAACACATCTGACTTGATTGGGGTAGCATTCTTTGAGTTAAAAACAGAATATGCTTTGACATGACAGGCTATATTAAGACTCCGAAGGCACCTTTTGGGATGAGCACTGGGTGTTGTATGGAAACCAATTTGACAATAAATTTCAAAAACAAAAAGTCTCCTCTACTTTTATCAGTATATTTTATCAATATTTCACCTATTAACTTGGCCCCTATAAATAGCTGCAAATTTCCCACATTCACAAAGAAGCCACTGACAATTATAAATCATGTTTTTATAATAATTACCATTTTGCTAAATTTTAAATACCTAAAATACTACAGTGTCAATTATAGTACTGAGTTTTGCCACTTTGGCTTTGAAACAAACAGCACATCAATAAATATCACCAAGTTCATAGTTCAAATTATAGGAGTACTCTTACACTTTCTGGGAGAAATGTTCTAGCACTTAAATATACAGACTATCATACCACTGGTAATAAACCTACCATCAGCTGAAAAAGACTGCAGGGTATTTGAATAGTGAGTTTGTTCATTAATATTAATTCAGAGTAAATATTTCAAAGTAGTAACAGTAAGAATATATATTAGTGATTAGAAAATATATCCCATACTTATTTTTCTCAAATTTTAAGTGAAACTTAAGAAGAATACTAATAAATCATGGAAAGAATAGGAGAAGGAATGTGAACATGATGGATTCAGTCCCTTATTAGTCACAGAATCATCATTCCATCACCAAATCCATGCCAAGAGGAGTTTATCCCATTTATGCCAGCTTTAAGTTCAGATTTGTGGTTTCTGAACCGAAGATATGGCTGTGTTCTTGTTTTTACTACTTAGGATAGTTTGTGAGTCCCTAAGACAATCATTTTCTGTTTCGTACCAAATGTGTCAGTCTGCTAGAAGTTTAACATTCAAGCAAGTGTCATAAGGAGAATGCAAGTACCCAGAGCATTGATTTCTAGGTAACTTCTACTACTGTTTCATATAAACAAGGTATTTCAGAGTGATGTAATAAGAAGCCAGTGGAAAACTAAATTGTCCATACCTAAGTGTCAGATTTTTATGAGTCATTGTATTCCGTAGCACTCTGATCTTGTTTTCATATTTGGTTTTTCATGTTTGAGAAACCTTCATTGTTTGAATTGTATGAATAATATTATTCATTGTATGAATATTATGAGTATTAAATGTATGAATAATATTCATTGTATGAATAATATTAAAATGAGCGATCACAGGTATTACAAAAGAGGCAAAAGTCATAATCCCATGTTTCAACGAAGGCTTTCAAACCAATCAAGATAGCTATAAAAATGTTCATTATTGGTTAGGTAATAATGACAAGTAGGATATAATAGATAATAGAAAACAGATACAGAGTTAATAATCTCAATGTGGTAATGTTCAGTTTTGTTTAACTTGAAGCAACCTCATGCAATTTTTTACATTAATTTATGCCAGGTATTGCGGATGAATAAAGAAGATTAACGAACATATCAGGTCTCATGGAAATGACTGAATACAAATGAAGCAGATAATCATTAAAGTTTTAAATGAAAAAAGGCTTATTCTGTACAAGGATGGCAGAATGGTACAGCTAGAAAGGGCATTTAGCTGGGCCAGCCACCAAAACACCTTATAGTTGGCATTAACTTAATGAATCATCCCAGTTCAAATTTTGGCCTACACACTTACAGACCCACAAATTATAACTTGTTAATAATTGTAAGAAAATTGGATAAATTTGTCAAATAGTATTTTTTAAATTTTTTAATGTTTATTTTGAGAGAGAGAGAGACAGCAAGCACATGGGGGAAGGGCAGAGAGCAAGGGAGACAGAATCTGAAGCAGGCTCCAAGTTCTGAGCTGTCATGACAGCATGGAGCCCAATGCGGGGCTCAAACTCATGGACTGCGATATCATGACCTGAGTTAAGTCAGATGTTAACCACGTGATCCACCCAGGTGTCCCTCAAATGGTATTGAAAATTAATTGTAATCAAATAGAGCATTATGATTGAAATAGAAACCAAATTATTAGTAAGTGGTATTGGTGAATCTATGCTAAAATTTAGCTTTGGTTACTTGACTGACATGTGGAAGATGATCAGGCTCTGGTAGCCTGGCAGGGAAACACCCACTTGAACAATGCTGGGATGGGTACTGTTTGCTTTGTCTCAGTGACTCCTCTTCCTATCTATCCATACATTCAGGGCTATATACAATCCTTCTGGAGATGTGTTAATGCTTCTCACCAGTTTAAAATTAAGACACACTGGTCGAGGAATTATTCTAACCAAGAGTTGGCATATGCTCTCCTATCCATAACGTGTGCTTATAGAAATCAGCTTTCAAATGACAACCTTATTTATTTATAAAAGTTATGAGTCAAATATAATAAGCAGCAAATCTAAAGAAAAATATACAAATAGTAAAAATAGAAAAATATTCAATTTAACAGGTAATGAAATGTTAATTAAAACAAGAGAGATGTGTCATGTCCCCTATTAGATTGATAAAAGATAAAACAAAAGAATAATACTGAATAGGACTGAAAATTTGGAACTGTGGAAGTTCTATTTGGTCAAAATTTACTGAACAGTTTTTAGAAAGCAATTTAGTGTATTTATCAAAATGTGTTTGCATTCATGACCCAGTAATTTTATTTCTGGGGATCTTCTCTCTTGAGTACTGTATCTCCCTGTTCTGAAGCACAAAATTAGATATGCATAATGTTGGGCAGCATGGACTCTAGGAAGTATAGTCCCCATTAAGAACTGGTTAAAGCAAGTCACAAATAAAGAAGATAATCTGTAACTTTTTTTTATGCAAAAGAGTGCTCTCTGAAAATAGAGACTGCTACTTGTACTATTTATTGGGAGAACATTCCTCCACTCATTTAATGAAGCCACAATAACCTGGATTCCAATTTTACAAGTATCATATCATATAATAAGGAAAGTTTTTAGTCCAATATCACTCAAAAAACAGTTATAAGGAGGAATGTGGGGAGATGGTGGAGTAAGAAGATCCTACGCTCACTTCCTCCAGGCCACAGATACACTTAGGTAACAGCCACATCTATGTAACTAACCCAGTAAATGAACTGACGACTGCTAGAACAGACACTCCACAGTTAATCACAGAGAGGAAGTCACATCTAAAAATGGAAGGAAGGGAAGAGCCCTGGTTAGGAACCAAATTAACCAGTAAGACTAACCACAAGAGGGAGGGACACCATAAGCATGGAGAAGGGAGAGGAACAGACCCAACACCAAACACTCCAGACATGGGGGACCTGCACTGGGAAGACTAGTCCCCCTACACTTGGCTTTGAAAACCAGAGGCCGAATTCTGCAAGTTATTACAATTAGTAGGGGCTTAACACCAGAAACTTTAAAAATCAGTGGGCCCTGTTCTGAGAGAGACAGAGGGTGATAGGAAACTGAGTGCTTGTCCTTAAAGAGCCAGTATAACAAACAACCCCTCCAAGATACAGCATAGAAGCAGCAGTTTGAAAAGCACCTGGGATATAGGGGAAGGTGATTTATTTATTAATCTCAGAAAATGTGCTGGAGGGGTAGGGATCATTAGAAGACTTCTCCAAGAACAAAAGAACTAAAGGGTGCCATTTATCTCCCCCTTCCCCCAAGCCTAGATACCCAGACACCCTCTGAGATCAGAAAAAACACTCCCCATGAAGCTTGCCACCATGTTCCTTGCCCTTGTTTTTTTCGCTGATTCACGTCATCCAACCCACCCAAAGGAGCCCCTGCAAAGTGACTCAGGCCAGTCCTCATACTTCAAGCATTGGCACATACACTGCTAACAATGAGCACTAAACCCTCATTTTCTCCTATAAGTGACGCTTCAAATCTACCCCACTAAGCAGGAATCCATCTAAAGTGGAAACTTATGGCTCTTTGACCAGCCAATTCCACTCCAAAGTGACTCATGCTCTGGGAAGAGGCAAAGATAACCACATACATCAGTTTGACTATAGCCCCAACAGTGGGCTGGGAGCAGATATCTAATATGACTGCCAGCGTCATCCACCAACAAAAACCTCTCAGGTGGCAGCATAAGGAGATAGCTCTATAGTTAGGGTCACTGCAACCTCAACAGACAGAATAGGGGTAGACATCTGTCCTGACTGCAGGCCCTATCTACCAATGAAAGCCTCTCAGGGGTAACATAGGTAGAGTGCCCTGCAGTTCAGTGCTGCCACAGTTCCAGCAAATGGGCTGAGATAAGTCACTTGGTGTGACTCAACTACAAGCCCAACACAGCCTCAGACTGGCCCCTTGATAGTACAGGAATGAAACCTAGGCCACAACAGGCAAACTGGGCCACTGCAGCCAATAGGACTGAGGCTCAACCACAACAGCAAGGCACACACAACATACACAGGAGACAAATATGAAACACCAGGTTCTGATACACAGGGCACTGTACTAGAGGGAACCATCGGACTTCTACAGAAGGCCACTATGTTAAAAATTAGGAGATGTAGCTGATTTCCCTAATACATTGAAACAGACACAGAGAGTGAGACAAAATGAGAAGTGAGAAGACAGAGGAAGGTGTCCAAAATGAAAGACAAAGACAAAATTACAGCAATAGAGCTAAATGAAAGAGAGATAAACAATATGCCTGATAGGAAATTCAAACTAATGATCATAATGATACTTATTAGACTTGGGAAAAAAAAGTAGAGGAACTCAGGGAGACCTTCAACACATATATAAATGTATGTATATGTATGTTTATGTATATATACACATACATATAAAAGAACCAGCCAGAGATAAAGAACTTAATAACTGAAATTAAAAAGGCACTAGAGGGAATAAACACTAAACTAGAGGAAGTAGAATAATGGATCAGTGAGCTAGAGGACAGAGTAATGGCGAGCAACCAAGCTGAACAGAAAAAGGAAACAAGAATAGTAAAAAAAAAAAAAAAAAAAAAAAAAAAAAAAAAAAAAAAAAAAAAAAAAGATGTTAGGAAAACTCAGTGATGTCATCAAGCATAATAACCTTCACATTATAGAGATCCCAGAAGGAGATGACAGACACAGGGGGCATAAAATTTATTTGAGGAAATAATAGCTGAAAACTTCCTTAATCTGGAGAAGGAAAACAGACATCCACCAAAGAGGTACAGAGAGCCCCCCCAACAAAATCAACCTAAAGAGGTCCACATCAAGATACATAATACTTAAAACAGCAAGAAGTACTGATAAAGAGAGAAGTTTAAAAGCAGCAAAAGAAAACAGTTATACATAAGGGAAATCCCATAAAGCTATCAGCTTATTTTTCAGCAGAAACCTTGAAGTTTCAAAGAGCTGTAAAGAAAAAACCTGCAACCAAGAATATTCTATCCAGCAAGGCTATCATTCAGAATAGGAGAGATGGAATTTCCCAGACAAACATAAGTTAAAGGAGTTCAGCAGCCTTATGAGAAACATTAAATGGAATTCTATGAGAGGCAAGGAAAGGCCATTAATTTGAGTAAGAATATGAGGAAAAGAAAATAATTTCACAGGTATAAACAAAGTAAAAGTGGTAGATTAATTACTAAAAACTACTACAGGGGTTGCAATAGAAGAGGTATAAAAGGTACATACCTATCAACAGTAACTTGGAATGTAATGGAATAAATGCTTCAATGAAAAGACAACTGAAGAGCTAAAAAAGTAAAATCTATATATATATATATATATATGCTGCCTACAAAAGATTCATATCCAACTTAAAGACATATACACACAGAAAGTGAAGGGATGGAAAAACACTTATGCAAATGGAGCTAAAACATGGGATAGCAAAACTTATACTGAACAAAGTATACTAAAACAAACACTGTAAAAAGAGACAAAGAAGAACACTACATAATCATAATGGGAACAATCCAACAAGAAGACATAATTGTAAATATTTATGCACTAAACATGGAGACACCCAAATACAAAAAGCAACAACTAACAAATTTTAAGGAGGAAATCAACAGTAATACAATAATAGCAGGGCACTTTAACACCCCACTTACCTCTATGGATAGATCATCCAGGCAGAAAATCAATAAGGAAGCAGTGGGCTTTGAATGACACATTGGACCAAATGGATCTAATAGATATATTCAGAACATTCCATCCAAAAAGAGTGAAACACATATTCTTTTCAGATGCACATAAAACATTCTCCAGAACAGATCACAGAGCAGGCCACAAAACAAGTCTCAAAAAATACAAAACGACTGAAATCATATGCATGTTTTCTGACCACAACCTTTGAAACTAGAAATCAACCACAAGAAAAAATCTGGAAAGAATACAAATACACAAAGGTTAAATAACATGATACTAAACAATGAACAGTCAACCAAAAAATCAAAGAGGATATCAAAAAATACAAGAGACAAATCAAAATTAAAGCACAATGTTCCAAAATCTTTGGAATGCAGTAAAAGCTGTTCTAAAAGGGAAGATTAGAGCAATAAAAGCCTACATCAAGAAGAAAAATCTCAAATAAACAACTTAACCATACATCTAGAGGAGTTAGAAAAAGAAGAAAAAAGCCCAAAGACAGTAGAAGGAAGCAAGTAATAAAGATTAAAGCAGAAATAAATGAAATAGATACTAAAAACAATAGCAACATCAGAACTGCTCAATGAAACCAAGAGTTGGTTCTCTAAAGAGATAAACAAAATTGGCAAATTGTTAGCCAGACTTATTCTGAAGAAAGACAGAGGCAGAGAGAGAGGGAGGGAGAGAGAGGGAGAACCTACATAAATAAAATCAGAAGGGACAGAGGAGAAATAATATTCAACACCACACACATATAAAGGATTATAAAAGAATATTATGAAAAAATTATATGACAACAAACTGGTACAATCCAGAAAAAACAAGTAAATTCCTAGAAACATATAACCTCTCAAAACTGAGTCAGGAAGAAATTCAAATTTTGAACAGACCAATTACTAACAATGAAATTGAATCAGTAAATAAAAAACTACCAACAATCAAAAGTCCAGAACCAGAGGAATACAGAGGTGAATTCTACCAAATATTTAAAGAGAAGTTAATACCTACTCTCAAGATATTCCAGAAAATAGAAGAGAAAGGAAACCTTCCAAATTCATTCTATGAGGTCAGAATTACCCTGGTAGCCAAATGAGATAAAGTCCTCCCACCAGAAAAACAACTAAAGACCTGTATCTTTTATGAACTTAGATGCAGAAATTCTCCATAAAATATTAACAAACCAAATGCAATGATATATTAAAAAAAACATTGAACACAATCAAGTGGGGTTTATTCCTGGGACACAAGGGTAGTTCAATATTCATAAATCAATCAACAAAAGGATAAAAACTGTATGATCCTTTCAACAGATGCAGAAAAAAAAGCATTTGACAAAGTGCAACATCCATTCATTATAAAAACACTCAACAAAGTAGTGTTAGAGGAAGCATACCTCGACATCATAAAGGCCATATACAAAAAAACAAAACAAAACAAGACAAAGCTAATATCATCCTTAATGGGGAAAAACTGAGAGCTTTTCTTCTATAGTCAGGAACAAGACAGGGATGTCCACTATCACTGCTTTTATTCAACATGTTACAGAAAGTCCTAGCCACAGTAAGCAGACAAGAAAAAGAAATATAAGGCACCCAAACTGGCAAGGATGGAGTAAAACTTTCACTATTTGCAGACAAACTGATAATTATATAAAGAAAACATGAACGACTCTACCAAGAAACTACTAAAACTGAAAAATAAATTCAGTAATGTTCAAGGATACAAAGTCAATGTATGGAAATTTGTTGCATTCCTATATACTAATAATGAAACAACAGAAAGTGAAATTAAGAAAACAACCCCATTTACAAGTACACCAAAACCAATAAAATATCTAGGAATAAACTTAACCAAAGAGGTGAAAGACATGTACTCTGAAAGCTATAAAACAGTGATGAAAAAAATTGAAGACAACACAAAGAAATGGAAAGACATTCTGTGCTCATGGATTAGAAGAACAAATATTGTTAAAATGTCTATAATACCCAAAGCAATTTACACACTTAATGCAATTCCTATCAAAATATCACCAGCATTTTTCAGAGCTAGAACAAACAATCCTAAAATTTCTATGTAGCCACAAACAACCCCAAATAGCCAAAGCAATCTTGAAAAGGAAGAATGAAACTGGCAGTCTCACGAGCCCAGATTTCAAGATATATTACAAAGCTGTAGTAATCAAAACAACATGGAACTGGC